CCGGCGCGGCGCTGCGCAGCTCGGTCTCGCGGCCAGAACGCCGGGCCCGGGAAGGAATTCGAGGCATTCGCTTTGTTTGACTTGCCAGTAGACAAGTCCCGGGGACTAATTAATGGTGGAATCTGCAGGGAGAAGCGGGCGAGCCGCCGGTCCCCGCCCGCCGTCGCGGTGAACTTTCCGCAGCGCGCTGCTCTGCGCACCCCACCCCGCGGCCCGCCGGAGAAGGGAGCCATGTCTGCCCGGAGCGCAGGAATGAAGTGCGGTTTCAGGAGCCGGCGTGGCCTGTGGCGACAGTGGAGACGTGCGTCCCGGGCATGGCGGGGCCCGGGGTTGGGGGGCGCTGCGCACCGGGTTTGCAGGCCGCTCCGAGGTGCCTGCGGTTTCTGCTAATTACCTTGCAGGAGGCTCTGCCGGCCGAGAAAGCCCGAGTTGCTCGGGAGCATCTGTTTCTTCATCGCGTCAGCCCCTTTCCTCACACTGCAGAGCTTGTTGTGGCATGTTTCGGAAATGCCGGGGACTGTGCTCACGCTTGGCGGTGGGAGAGGGGAGGGGGCAAGGAGAGCAGGCTCACCCCCCCCCGCCCCCATCCAAATGCCCGCAGTGTTCGTGCCCCTAGAGCCCCAGAATGCTTGCAGATTCTCGGTCGTACCTTCTCCGACTTAAATGACCTTGGGGGAAAGGACTGTGCTTCCGAACGCCTCGTGGTGGCTTTTCTGTCCGGGGAGAAGATACTCTCTGGACCACCCCTGCCTTTGGAGGTATTTTGAGAAGTGGGGTTTGTTCCAGGGCATTTCTTTAACCAACTGCTGTGGTTTTGGCTTGAGGAGCTGGACTTGTGACAGCCGGGGATAATTCAGATCACCTAGGAAGATTTTGCAACCCCTGATGTGGGAGAGAGGGAGGGAGGGAGGGGCTTGGATTTTAGGTGGATATTTCCTTTTGGAGAATCTGTACAGTCAGTTCCAAATTGCCTTCTGTCACTTTGTGTGCCGTTTTGGTGGCATTTGTGTGGTTAAATTGAATAACCCCCATAGAAAATTCTTCTCTTGTTAGAAATAATTGTTTTGCTCAGAATTTCCCCTTGGGGCAGATTAAGGTTTTGCTCAATTTACTCCCAAGAATTTTCCAGGTTTCTAAAATTAAATCCCTTTTCTAAACATAGTTACTAAAGTTTGCAAAGCTAGAAATAGTGGAATGGGGAAGAAATGGATTGGTGTATGAACAAGGCAGTAAGTCTAGTTTCACTGCTGACCATCAATGACACAGATTGTTAATTAGCCTTCTTTGATTTTCTTTTTTAAGGCCTTAAGCCCAGAGAGGGAACTAACCATGTTAAGTTGCCTCCTCTGTGCCCAGTAATATTGCTAGGTGGTGGATATCTTATATAGTCTTCTCAATTCTGTGAGGTGATAGTTGAGCAAACCAAAGGTCAGAAGGTAAAAATGACTGTCCCAAGTTCACACATTTATAACAAGAAGTGGCACTGGAATTCAAACTCAAGTCTGTTTGGAAGGTTCATGGTTATTTCCACTATGCACGCTGTCCTGGGAAACCAAGAAACTTGGTTTGTAGACATTTGGCTCAGTCACTGGGTCACTGTGGACCCTAGAGTAAGTCACTTAAGTATTTTCCAGTAGCCCTCAGTATTGGTGGGTGGTTGTTCGTTTTTTGTTTCATAGTGCCTATATAGCCCTGGCTGCCCTGAACTGGATGTGTAGACTAGGTTGGTCTTGAACTCACAGAAGTCTACCTCCCTAAGTGCTTGGTTTAAGTGGTGTGTCACCACTCCTGGCATATTGGTATGCTTTTAAAGTGTGCTAGTTTTTTGAGAGAAAGAAATATAAATATGTACTCTATTCAGTAGGTGCTTAATGATTTGTCTATGTTGGAAACATTTGTATTAAAGTACAGAATGTCTCAGTTGATCATACATCTACATAATGGAAGCTTGTAGAAAGGCAATGGTCCTTCCTCTGAAGAGGCCACCATTAAGGTGACATTCATGACCCAGAAATTGAACCACTTTTCATCTAACTGTTTTGGGACAGTGCCAACCCAGGGTAGATCATGCATGTACAACTCAGATATTCCAATCTGAAAGATTTGGTATACATTTTGATGCACATAATAGATACTCAGTAAATATTTGCCAAATGAATGTATACAGGGTTGGGGTATAATTTGCATATGATATAATTGACCAATGTTAGTGTATAGTTTGATGAGCTTTGACAGATGATATTGTGTGGTCACCACTACCTTTATTCTTTTAGAGCTGTTTGTTTTCTTTAAGGAATTGATAGCTGATTGATCCCACCAAAGGTTGGGTTTCTGTGCTTTAATACTGTGAGATTAGAGTGACTACTAGAGTGTCAGTATGCCAACTAGGTAGGAAATAGGGAAACCTTAAATATTTAGTGGTGAGGACAGGAGAGGCAGAGACATCTGATTTGGAGAATAATGATTTTCTGTGGGAAGAAGTAGATTTTTAGTTACTTCTAGGCTAAAGGATATATTTTTGGTAGATGAAACAAAAAAAAACCCTAAAGTTTTATTAAAAGTAAAACTCTTGTGTTTTCATTTTCCTTCGAAATGGTAGCTTGTGTACATAAATGCTTAAAATGTTACAGGTGACATAACATGTCCATAATACTTACGGGTGGGGATGCTATGCAGTGATTGAAAGTCTAACCTCTCTCCTATTACAGAATTTACCTGTAATGATGACCTCTGATTTATTTGAGCTAATAATCTACAAAGGGGAGAATACATTAGGTAGACATTGTGGCTTGCTAGAAAGACATGACTTTTTCCTTTACTGAACCTATCCCAAGTTGCTTTAGCTTGAGTCTCTATCTTAGGAAATGCTTAAAACCTCTGCTACCAAGCTTCTAGAAGCCTCATTTCTGCTCCTTCATTCTTCTTTTCTCATTACTCATTTTATTCTGCATGCTGACTATACACAATCCTCCATTCCTGTTTGCGAATTTTTCTGAGAACTGGAAACTCTTTGTTAGTGTACACTGTTGGCCTTTCCTCCATATACCATTAGGAAATAATAATTCAATTAAAATACCTAATATCAACGTTTTGGGTGACTCTAGGGAGAAAATAACTATGAGGTAGTCATTATCCTCATTTTATACATTAGGGACTGAGCTCAGAGCAGTCACTGCCAGGGACATACCTTTTTTTTTTTTTTTTTGAGCTCAGGCAGGTTGATACTCCGGTTTGGAATCTTTCATTATAGTGTGGTGTATTGTCTGGGGTGTCTCAGGGAGAATTTGAAGATGCCGTATTAAAATTTGTGCCAAAATCTAACAAGTACACTAACCTTCCTAGCCAATGTTTTCATCTTTCTCTAAATTCTTGGATATACCTCCTTAATTCTGAATAATTTGCAGCTCACCTTTTAGTGCATAGTTCCTTTCCCATACACAGCACTTGTAAATACAGTGCTTTATATTAGATAGCTGTTACAGCTACTCCTCCCTTTTATATATACCACAAGTTTCCATTATCTTAGTTTGTTATTCAAGAGCCTCATATTTGCTTGTGCCTTTCTGTTCCTGTTTTATCTGGACAGTCTTAATTTGTTGGTTTTTGAGACAGGGTCTCATATAGCCCAGGCTGGACTCAGACTTGCTATGTAGCCAAAGCTAGCCTTGAACTCCTGGTCCTCCTGCCTTTAGCTCCTGAGTGTAGCATGCGCCAACGTTGATTTAATGAATTAATGGAGTCCGTGTGTGCGTGCGTGCGTGTTACAGGGGGTTGAACCCAGGGCCTTGTATATGCCAGGAAAGTGGTCTGCCACTGAGATGATGTTTTTTTTTTTTTTTTTTTTTTTTTTTTTTTTTTTGAGTCAAGGTCTTGCTTCACATCCTAAACTAGCCTTGAACTTGCTGAGTATCCCAGGCTGGCCTTGAACTTATGATCCTCTTATCTTAGCTGCCTGAGTACTTGAATTATAAAATTATAGACATGTACCACCATGCTCAGCTTAAGTCATATTTTGAAATACGTTACTGAAAACTTGCATAAAAATCTAAAAAATTTTGATTGATTTATTTTTATTTTATGTGTGTGAGTGTTTTGGCTGCATGTATATAAGTGTACCCATGTCATGCAATGCCTGTGGAGGTCAGAAGAGGGCATTGCATCCCCTGGAACTAGTGTTACAGATGGTTGTTAGCTGCTGTGTGGGTGCTGAGATTTGAACCCAGGTCTCCTGTAAGAACAGCCAGTGCTCTTAATCACTGAATCATCTCTCTAGCCCTGCATAAAACTTCTAAAAGCTATCATACCTTTATGTTTTGTTTTGTTTGTTTTGTGGTACTAGGGATTGAACATGATATCACACATGATAGGCAAGTGCTTTGCCACTGAGCTATATACCCAGATTTTTTTTTTTACTTTTTATTTTGAGACAGGATTTCACTAAGTTGCCTGGCCTTAAAACTCATTCTGTTGACGAGACCTTCCGTCCGTCCTTCCTTCCTTCAATTTATTTATCTCTTTGTGTGTTTGAGACAGAGAAAAGAGAAGTGTGATAATGTTTTTCTGTGCAAAGACCAAAAGAAGGTGTTAAATCCCTTGGAGCTGGAGTTACAGGCATTTGTGGGACACCTGACTTGTTAAGTGGGTGCTGGGATCCAAACTGTGGTCCTCAGGATTGCCCAGCAAATGTTCTTAACCATTGAGCCATCACCCCAGTCTCTGACCTTGAACTTTGATGCTTATGCTTCAGCCGCAGGAGTAGCTGAGATGATAGGTCTGTGCCACCAGGTCTAGTTGCCATAACTTTTTATCAGTATACACATACATACATCACACATATATACACACAGAACACACACACACACAGACAGATGTAGAAATGGTGAGAGAGAAGACAGGCACATACCATAAGAATGCATTCTGAGATGGCTTGGTGGGTAAAGGCTCTTGCTTCCCACCCTGATGATCTGAGTTTGATCCCTGGGATTCACATAGTAGAAACAGAGAACTGACTTTTGCAAGTTGTCCTCTGACCTTCACACATGTACCCTGAGAGTGTCAGGGTACACCATGAGCATGTACTGTGGGTATGCCCTACTCCCCCATACACACACACACACACACACACACACACACACACACACATGAGTAAATAGTTTAAAAAGCATGCAATTTGATGATGTTTTCCTATGGCAACATACCTATGTAACCAACATCTAGGTTAAGAAAGAGCTGTACAAGTATTTAGAAGCCCCCATTGAGTCCCTGCCCCTCCTCTACCACCCAGGATGATCACTGTCCTGACATCTACAGCATAGATTAGTTTTACCTTTTTATAAAAATGGAACCAAATGGTACATATCCTTTTATTTAAGACAATGAGAGCTTGCAAGATTTTAAGTGACTTTTCCAAATTTGGACTATATTTGGAATATAGTACAAATTCAGACTCTGTAGCCTATAATGCATAGTATAGTCTGGCTCTGTATTTCTCTCCAACTTCATCTTATTCCAGTCTCACTGCCCATTGTGCTTAGCTACATTAGCTTCATATTTATTTTGAAGCCAACAAGCTGTTTTCTACCTCAGGGCCTTTGCTTATATGACCGTCTCCTCCTTGAATGCTCCTTCATTCTCTTTGCAGACCTAGGCTTATATATGGTGTAAGAGACCCTTCTCATCACCCTGCTAATCCTTCCCATTATTCCGTGTTACTGGCTTCTGTCACCTTTCTTCATAGCACCTATTATGACTTATAATG